AGCAATACTCCACCCAAGGCTACTAGTCCACCCACGCCCGCGGTCGATCACCTGTAACACAACGTAAATACATCACAATCACCTTGTTGACCACCTCAGACTGGCTGTCTGTCTGAGGGTGGAAGGCCGTGCTCATGCGCAAGGTGACGCCTGCCATCTTGAAGAGGTCGCGCCACACGTGACCGATGAACACGGGGTCCCTGTCGCTAATGATGGAAGAAGGGAAACCATGCAGTCGAATGATGCCGTCGAAGAAAGCACGGGTGACGGAGGCGGTGGTGTAGGGGTGACCTAGGGCGATGAAATGCGCATACATGGAGAAGCGGTTGACCACTATGAGAATGACGGATTTGCCGCTGACCTTGGGCAGCCCCTCGATGAAGTCCATGGAGATATCCGCCCACACCTGGGATGGTACTTTGAGGGGCTGCAGCAGGTCGGCGGGCTGTAGTGACTTCGTCTTGTTCCGCTGGCACGTGCTGCACGCCCGCACCCAATCTTGGACAAGGGCATGGTCTCCCGGCTTGTAGAAGTCAGCGCGCGGGCGGTACAAAGTCTTCTGGACTCCCTCATGGCCTGTCGAATGAGCCAAGAGGAGGACTTGGTGGCGCAGGTCCTCATGGTCAGGGACGAAGATGTGGGACCCGTGGAGAAGGAGACCGTCATCGAAGTGCCACGGTGCCGGTAGCTCACCAGCCTACAAGCGCTGGAGGAGCTGCTGGGCTTCCACAGCTGCTGTTGTAGCCCGGCGGATGTCATCAAAGAGGGCGAACGTCGGCCCAGAGAGAGCATGAGCAGTAAGAACAGGAGCTGTACCCTCCTCCATGCCGCAGCGGGACAGCGCATCCGCCACGATGTCAGGCGGCCGGGGCGATACTCCATAGCAAAATCAAAGCCAAACAACATGTTGATCCACTGGTGTTGAGGTACAGTGGAGAGACGTTTGTTGAGCAGGAACTTGAGGCTGTAGTGATCTATACGAACAAGAAATGACGCCCCCATAGGTATGGTCGCCAGTGACGTATAGCCTGAACTAGCCCAATCAGCTCACGTTCGTAGGCGGCGAGCTTGAGATGGCGAGGGGTCCGGCGTCTTGGTGGAGAACAGCGCCGAACCCTGCGCCTGACGTGTCACAGTCCACCACGAACTGCTTGTCGAAGTCGGGCATTTGGAGGATGGGTCCTGTGGACAGGGCACCCTTGAGTGCCTAAAACGCCGCATCTGCCTCGTCATCCTAGGAGAATGCATCCTTCCACAGGAGGCGCGTCAGTGGCGCAGCGATGAGGCCAAAGTCGCGAATGAACTTCCTATAGTAGCCGACGAGGCCCAAGAAGCCCCGTAGCCCATGGGCGGAGCGAGGGGCCGGCCATGAGGCGACCGCAGCCACATTGTCGGCGTCCATAGCAATGCCGCTTGCTAATATCACGTGGCCAAGGTAGGCCACCGACGATGCCCCAAAAGAACACTTGGAGCACTTGAGGTGGAGCTAGTGCGCCCAAAGTGATTGGAGGACGATGATGAGGTGTTGTAGGTGTTCAGCCTAGGAGGCGCTATATATGAGTATGTCGTCGAAAAACACAAGCGCGAACCTATGCAAAAAGGGGTGGAGCACGTCGTTCATCAAAGCCTGGAAAGTCGTCGGTGCGTTGGAAAGGCCGAACGGCATGACCAGGAAATCAAAATGGCCATGGTGAGTGCAGAACACTAGGTTGGTGATGTCATCAGGGTGCATCCGTACTTGGTGGTAGCCCGAGCACAAATCAAGCTTAGTGAAGAAGCGAGCCCCGTGAAGATCATCGAGAAGGTCATCGACGACCTGAATCAGGAATTTGTCCTTGGACGTCTTGGCGTTGAGGGCCCGGTAGTCAATGCAAAAACGCTAGGAGTTGTCCGCCTTGTGCACCAGCAGCACGGGGGCGGAGAACGGGGACGTGCTCAGCCGGATGATGCCTTGGGCGAGCATAGCAGTGCACTGACGCTCCAACTCGTCCTTCTGCAGCTAGGGTTAGCGATAGGGGCGAACGGCGACCAAAGCTGTACCCGACAGTAGGTGGATGAGGTGATCATACGGCCGCATTGGAGGGAGCCCTTGTGGCTCAGCAAAGACCGGCTCAAACTGCTCTAGGAGCCAGTCTAGTAGTGGCTGAGAGGGGACAGCGACGATCGCCCGCGCGGCCGGTTCCCGGATGTCGTCGCGAGGGGACCCCAGGCCCTTCCACATAATGCGCCGGGCACCCCGTGTGAAAGCCATGCACAAATCCTCGAAATCCCAGAGGATTGGGCCTAGGGTACGTAGGAACTCAATGCCAAAAATAAGATCAAAACCACCCAGGCTGATGGCATAGCAGTTGATGGTGAACTCCTCTGTACCAATGGCCAGGGCCACTTCTCGGGTGATGCCTTCGCAAGGCACATGATCGCCGTTGGCCACCAGTACCCGCATGTTAGGGTGCGGTGCTGTAGAGAGGTGTAGGCGGCGTAGGAGATCAGTGTTGATGAAGTTGTGCGTCGAGCCAGAGTCGAGAAGCGCCACAAGCCGGTGGCCATGTACGGAGACTGGAAGGAGCATAGCATTCTTGGTCTGGATGTCGGCAAAGGCATAGAGGGAAACCTGAGGCTGGGCTGCAGGTTCCTACCCCACTGCTAGTGCAGGCGGAAGCACAACAGCCTCCTCCGAAAAAGCAGCCACAGCGGCCACCTCCGCTGGTATGTCATCGTCGAGGAAATCTACCACTTCGAGGTAGAATAGGCACTGGCACACATGACCGCGCACATAGGGCTCATCACAATTGTAGCAGAGACCTTGGCACCAGCACTCCAATTGCTCCGTTGGGGATAGGCGGCGGAAAGGATGAGCAGGGGCTACAGCGCCCACTGGTGCTTGAGTTGTGGTGCCGAGCGCTGGGATGCCCGAGTGCTGAGTTGTGGTGCTTGAGTTGTGGTGCCCGAGCTGGGGCTGCTGGTACTGCTGTAGCAGGCCAAAGCGGCGCTGGGATGCCCGAGCGCTGAGGAGGCCGGGGGCCACGCTGAGGAGTGGCCGGTGTCGTGGTAGCGGCGCGGCGCTCAAAGGCCTTGGCCAAATACATGGCCGTTTGGAGGTTCTAGGGCTCCCGCAGCTCCACATAGACCTTAATGTGCTCCGGAAGCCCGCCCACAAAAAAACTCTGCCTTCTAGGACACGGAGAGGTTCCAAGCATGACAGAGCACCGCATTGAAGCGTTCGGAGTAGTCCTGTACCGTGGAGGTGAAGGGCAGGCGAGCAAGTTCGGATATATGGGTCCCACGAACCGTCGGCCCAAATTGTAGATTGCACAGCTCCTTGAAACGATCCCACGTAGGCATGCCCTCTTCTTGCTCGAGGGCGTAGTACCATGTTTGGGCCGCACCGGTGAGATGGTACGACGCGAGCCAAGTGCGGTCCGATAGGGTGCGCTGCCCGCGGAAGAACTAGTCACAATGATTGAGCCAATTGAGGGGATGCTCGGCGCCATCATAGGTGGGGAACTCCAACTTGTAGAAGCGCGGAGGGTGAACGCCGTGGCTGACACCCGGAGCTGCTGGTTATGGAGCAAAGGCCGCGGACGACGAGGCGCCGAGGTGTTGCTACATGTTGCTGCCGTAGAGTAGAGGGCCATCAACGCCTCCATAGAAAACCCCCTCCGTGTAGGATGGCTGCTGTACCGCCCCACCGTAGTGGATCAGGGCGCCTGTGGTAGGGGCTGGGGCAGCCAACGTCGTGGTCACCGGAAACGTTGCCATCGTATACACCGGCCCGATCGTCGGGGCCAGGGCATAAGATGGGATCAGCGACGGGGAGGGCGGCATCCACAGTAGATGAATGGGCACGCCGGTTGCGCTGGACTGGGGCATCCCAGCAGGGAACACCGGCGGCAGGGAGGCCATGGTCGATTGCGGCGGCGGTGGCGGCGGTGGTGGGCGTGGTGGGGAGGGCAGCGGCTGCTGCGAGCTGATGAGGTAGGACTGCATCGCGGCCATGGAACGGGATAGCTCATGGATGACCGCGGTCATCTGCTCCATCGACATTGTAGAGGACGGAGCGGCCGCCGAAGTGGATGGTAGCAGCTGCACAGCAGTGGTGATTGGCGGCGGTGGCGGTGGGCTGGTGGAGGTGGAAAGAGGGCCTGAAATCTCTGATACCAGATTGATAGGACTAGATGCCCTACCGGAGTTGCTGCGAAGGTTGTAGGGATGGAAGAGCGGAGGGCGAGGCTTAGGGAAGCGGCGACGGGTTGGCGCCGTGGTGATCACAGCACAAGGAGGAAGAGGAGGTGCGGCTAGGGCTCCCAAGGGAAGCCAGCAACAATTATGTTGCTTCTGCTTAATTCCAATCTCAATTGTTTGCAGAGTCTTTATCCTCTCTAGGATCCTATAATTAAGGAATAAATATCATAAATAGCTAATAATAATAATATGAGCTCTTAGCCCCTATAGCCGGCGTCCTCCTCTAGCCACTAATGGGCCTGCGCCTATTATAGTAGACGCCGGTCATAACACAATCACAGACTGAAGGATCAAAGCAACTGTTCGTTCTAATAGGCGAAACTTGTAATGCCCTACCGAAAGAACAACGAAGAACTCACGCGAAGAAGAGAGATGATAAAAACTGACCGGAGCATTGTCACGACGCAAAATCTCAGCCTCCACAACTCTACCAGGCCGGCGATCAAGGCCGGGGAGATCCATGGGAGGAAGGATCACCAGAGATCGCCATGGTCGTCATGGGTGGTGAGGAGAGTGCGACATGTCGTTCCCCGGTCTTGTTCACAAATGCGCGCTTTCACGCCTTAATAACAAAACCTAAAAGCAAAAACTGCTGACTTATATTAATTAATTTGAGCCAGCTTAAGCAATCAATGTAGCCTGAAGCCAAGATACAAAAGCGGGCTGGCGTACTCGCTGCGACCTCACGTTTCAATATAAACAACCTTATGCGTTTTCTATTGTCAGTCAAACTGCGTGCGTAGCCTGCTGCCCGCCGGTCATGGAGCTCCGGCCGTTAGGCAGTCCACCGGTGGCTCGACAGGGCGCACCTCATCGCCGTGCGCCTTCCAGCAAAAGGGACCTTGGAGGTGGTATCCGCTGTCGTTTACCGGCGCGAGCTGGATGTCCGCCAGGTGGATCCCCATGCACGGTGCGGCGTCGCTGCACGCCAGGTACACCGGCCGCTCGGTGTAGGTTCCCGCGACGCCCTGGTACACCACGCCGGCCACGACCACCGCCGACGTCTGGTTGGTGCACGTCGTGTGGTCGCAATAGTACTGGTCGATCACGATCGCCGTCTTCACCGCCGACAACCGCACGTTGGAGAACCGCACGTTCTTCACTGACCCCGACCCGCCCTGTATTCCTTGCATCCGCGTTGTTTAGCCTCCGATTGGTCTCCGCGAGGCGCAACGTAACAATAATAATAACGAGCTACTTTCGTTTCTTACCTGCCAGGTCTTGATCCTGACGCCGGTCATCGTCTGGTTCAACGTGACGTCCTGTACGGTGACGTCGGAGACAACCGCCATGGCGCCGCCCTTGCCAAGCCCGCCGATACTGATGCCGTGGCCTGGCCCGCAGTGCACCTCGCGGATGACCACGTCGGAGCAGCCGTCCTGTATCGACACGCAGTCGTCGCCTGCACATCGCAATTCGCAAGCTAGTGTGAAGGAGATCACCTTTCCAGTTCGATTGTTTTCCTCGGGGTCTGGGCAACGGTTTGATTTTCCTCTGTTATGAGTCATGGCTCATTGGAGCGAGGCGATTGCAGAAGCACTTATTACCGCAGCCGATGGTGGTGTGTTGGATGGAGACGCCCACGGAGCCGGCGAGGTGGATGCCGTCGGTGTTGGGGCTGTCCCCGGGCGACGCGATGGTGACGTCGTGCACCTCGACGGCACGGCAGGTGTCGAAGGTGAGGTGGAACTTTGGGCTGTTCCGGATCGTTATCCCCGTCACGGTTACGTTGGCGCCCTGGTACACCCTTAAAGCCTGACAGCAGCAAAGTAACATTTTTTTTAATTAGTTAATACTTTTTTCAGAAAGAGAAATCAGATCATATTATTATGCTTCACCAGTTAATATAGAATTTGTTTGGTACTGTTTATAAACTGTTCGTGACCAAATAAGTTAAAACTAAAAGCAAACAGCCGTAGCCTGCATTCTTTTTCTTTTCTGATCACGTTGTTCACGGCCCTCATTTGTATTAAAACATTAAAAAATAGATCAGACAAGTGTAGCTGAAGATCAGCTTCTCAAGAAAACGGTTCTCAAGATTATATGTTATACCAAACAGGGCCAAACAGATTGTAAGGAAAAACACATGTACGCTGCAGTTAGGACGTCGTTAGCTTTCAATACGTCACAAATAAATATATACCAACAACAAATCATTTCAACGTAGACTAGAGAAATGAGAAATGCAAAGGTAAGTAGATCATCTTTACCGTCGGTCTGTCGCTTGTTCCGGCACGATCAGGGTCCAACTCCTGCACAAGTCAACGACAAGAAGCTAACGCACTGCACAAGCCAACCTAGATACTTTTTTTTTCTTCAGTTACCGTCGACTGGTCGTGGTCGACGACAGAAGTCCTGCTCCACCAGTGACTTCCCTGCCCGTCGATGGCGCCGCACCCTTGGATGGTGAGGCCCCTCACGCTCTTGAACTCAAGCCACGGCGTCACATACCCGGAGCGCCATGCTGTGGAGCCTGTGTTCGCGAGGATCGTGCCGTCCACCTTAAGAAAATATAATGCAAGCATTGACGATCGTTAACTCGCATGGTAGCCACAGCCGGCGTTATATATTGAGGAATGTTTGGCTATCATCCTGGTTAAATAACAGCAAAAAAATATATGGCGAATTTTTGTTTATACTTTTTTATAGCAGAATCGATAACCACGGCGAAACACGTCTATCCCTACACATGGTATGTGATCCATCATCCCTTGCATTACTTAGTAGCTAGCTTTGGTAGCCCTGATCTATGTGCCGTGACTGACTGACTGCTGCATCTTTTGCACACCAGTCATCAGGACGGACTCACCTGAAAGACAACGTTGGGTTCGCATGAATCACCGGTGAATGTGATGGGGCCGACTAGAAACACGTTGCTCGCTGGCACCAGAACCGTCGACGCCTCGACTGCGCACGCCACCGACCAGGCGTAGGCGAACGCCTGCTGCATTTCCAAAGAAAAAGAAAGTCGGACATATATAGATCAAAATAACTTTTGATGTTGAAGAAGACAATCCAATCATTTCATTGGTTATATTAATAGGTTTCAACCAATAGCGTTATCATCACTTTCCTTGGTGTCGTCTGTAGCACCGTCCCCCACGGCACCGTACTCCAACACGCTGAAGGTCGCTAACGGCAACCGCGGCGGCGGCGTCATGACTGGAGCTGGCGGAGGATGGTGTGGGCCGCCTGGTGGTGGTGGTGGTCGCCGATGGGTTTTGCTCCTCGCGAGGCAATGTCCCAAGAAGGACGGGGAAGTGGTAACGGCGAGTAGAAGCAGGGCTCTGACGAAGGTGGCATTAGCCGAGGAGACGTTTTGGATGCTCTGTCCCTTCATCTCGTTTTAGCTAGCCAGCTTGATCGTGTGCGTCTTATAGGCACCTAGGTTGCAAGGACTAGGAGCGCTAATACAGTAATGCATGTTAGTGGTCCATCTTAAATGGCAGCGTATATATACTGATTTTGCACGCTGGATTCATCGTGCCCTCATCATCATATACTATATAAGGAAAATGGGCGTTGCCATGGAGTATAATGTGCTACGCCAGTATTTATAATTACTCTGGCGACAAAGATTTTGTAGTATCTTTCAATAATGTTTGTTCATGGAAAAAAAAGGAATGGTATTGAAACTTTGCAAGCAATGTATGTCCCGTGAGCCCACTAGCTTGATGCTGGTACCAAAATCCTGCTGAAAGCTCTGTGCTTCATTCTGATGGAATAATCCCTTGCGCTCTGGCTCGTGACCTTGCTGGATTACTCTACGATTACGAAACAAGTGCTTGTGATCAATACCAATCAGGCACGACAGTACACAAAACCACCCAAACCTTTTTCTTTCTTGCATTACCCGCCGCTGGCGTTACGTGACCTGTTTGGTAACCTATCATTCTCCAGTTTGACCCACAAAAGGTGAATGGCAACAATACAGGAGGTTATTAGGAGCCTCAAAAAAAAATTCGCAAAGAATTTTGCCATATGTCACAAAATTACCGGATGCATCTCTTTTCCAGCGAAGTCAAACACTAGTACAGGAATGATTTTTACTAACAGTAAAAATCGATCTTTAGGGCCCGTTCAAAACACCCCACTATGCCATGGATGTAAAGATATGGCACTTCTAGCATTGGGCATCTAACCGTCCCTATAAAAGCATTTCTAGTGGCGTTTCCATTAAAATATTCGCCCCTAAAAATTGTATTGTTAGGGGCAGTTGCCGTAAAAGAACCACCCTTGAAATTCAATTTTCAGAGACGGTTTCTACTCGTATCTTTGTTTTCTTTTTGAGCTCAGGTCTTCATTTTTGTGTGTGTCCTGCTCCCTATGTTCCTTCGCGTGACTCCTTTACTTGTTTTTCCTTTTCTGGTCCCATCCATGTTACCATTCTGCAATTCTTTTTTTCGTTTATTCTCTCTTCTCTTTTTTTCGAGTATCACCCGTTTTTTCTTAGTTTTATTTCTTTTCTGGGACTGCTTTTGGTGTTTGCAGCTATGATCTTTTTGTTTTGTTTTATTTTCTCAACTATCTCCTGTTTTCTTAATCAGATCAAAATTAAATTACGAGCCTATGAACCATTGATCCTTTTCTCTGTAGGAAGAAAGCAAAAGAGAGAAGCCTTGGATCATGACCGAGTTGAGTTTCATAGTTTGGAGAAGTTTGGAATGACTAGCAGGGTCCACATTGAGTATCAAGGGAGTGATTGTTAGAAGTTAGGGATCCATGGGGGTTTTTTGCTATGTTCAAATTTAGACTGATCGTCGGGTCATGACAGTAATTGTTGAAATCTAGAGGTGCGGGAGGGTGGGAAGTGGTAGTGGCGGCAGCAGAGGGGGCGATGGGCTAGGGGTGGTACCATGGTGGTGGCGGATGTGATGGGATCAGAGGATAGAGAGATAGAGAGGTAAAATTGTGCAAGATGAGATATCGTGTGGGTGTCCCGCCTGCATGTGAGGGACTGTTCCCGTATCCGTCGGGTTAGCACAAGTGCCATCCTCTTGACCAACTTGCGATAACTCCAACCAACACAAGGCCCCAAGAATAGTGTCGTCCGCATCTTCTCTTTAGGATCTTTTTAACGGTCGAGTAACACAAAACCATCCAAATGGAAAACCATCCAAATGGAAAACCAGTATATAACACTGATATTAGGCCATCGCACTAAATTAGATAAATTGAGTTATTCAAAATTTACCAAATACAACAATAGCGAATCAATGTTTGTAATAATTATAAATTAACCCTCTATGGTTGGTGTTCGCAAGATATCGCTCAACAATTTATCGGAGTTAACATGCAGCTCATCTTGGAATCGCCCGTTCCAAAGTCTACTATTCACCGGCGAGATGAGCTTGGCTCAAGACAACCAGAATCAAAGGTACCTGCAAAACAACTTAGTGGCAGCACTGTGAGTACATTATGTACTCGCAGGACTTAATGCACGGAAGTTATCAGACATTTGTACATTTGCGAAAAGCGATGGCGTCTGTTAAAGAATGAGATACTCATGACTCATGAATAAATTGACTAACAATTATAAGTTCATGACAGGTGATAATGACTAGCATAGTTAAAGTGATGAACATTATAATCCATCTCAAAATTAGGTACCATCAACCACGCTACGATGGGTCTAGAAAAAAGAACAACTGGTTCCGTCCCAAGGGACTTCTGGCTTTCAAGTGAACTCTACAGAGGGGTACAACTATGCCCACACAGAAGAACGAGACTAACCAACATAGCCATGCGCATGGGTAAGGGTTGTCTCACGTCTCCATCCTTTCCCTAACCTGGCCGGAATATCCACAAAAGGGTTCATAAGTTTCCGGGTAATGCTACCACCAACTACCTGGCGCCACCCTCATGCTAGTTTTATGGATAGACCAGTCGCAATTAGTTACTAGCCTTGTCACCCCCATATGCGACATGTGGTCGGTACGTTTGGTTACTCAGACTCACTATCCCAATGAATAGTCCTTAATTGCTCCGCAAGCTACGTCACTTGGGATCCAACACCCACAATGACCTTACCCCTCGCATAAGTAGAGACTCTCAGATTGATCATCAAAATTATTACTCAAATTGGGGTTGGTCCTTAGTCAACATTAGGTAAATAGGTAAGTTGTAACCCTCGTAATATTTTAGTAATTATTAACCCAGTGTAGCATCCTCCATGCGCGAGAGTGAGTTGCCTTCTCAAACTTGACTTCTAAGGAACAAAGGAATTAACCAATCCCCACCGTTTATAATTGAAGGCCAGAATTAGCTAGGTGGGTAGTTCTAGATTAATGAGGCAAGGTTAAGTCATTAATCATATCACATCTATATGAAATGCAACTCATAGTGAAACAATAATAAGTATCCAAAATAGGGCTCAAAATAGTGGGGTGCCTGCCTAGTTATGTCGATCGGACAACTCAAAGTTGACGATGATGACTTGTACACGTTCCTCACATACGCAATGATTCTTGAAAGAGATGAGAAACGAGATTGGAGATAACCGATAAAGAGATAGAGATATCTCCAAGTGTATCCTATTTTTTTCTCCCAAAAACATGTAGTTTAGCAACTCCTAAAAAGGTATTGGGAGGAAAAAAGAAGGCCATTCCAAGAGTTTCTAATAATCCATTCCTAAAATATAGAAGACAATTTTACATTAGAAATCTTATAATATTTCTAAATTGTCATAATCACTTTTATATATTCTTTCTCTCACGTACATTTGCATCAGGAACCCTTTCCTACTCTTATTCTTTCCCACACCCTTCCACTTTAGATTGACCGATCGATACGCATGGGAAAGCAGTATCCGCGCAACCGCTACTACATGCAAAGTTACGTGCGACGGGGGAGGATTTCCCAAGTGCGTAAATTTTAGGAGCATGGACTAGGAGTTATTGGAGAGAGGTTTTTTCTCATCTTACTAAAAACTAAGGATTAGGAAGGGAAATAGGGTACTCTTGGAGATACTATCTGAAGCTTGATTTTGGAACATGGGAAGAGATGTCTAAACTTGGCTCTACTATTGCCTTATTTAAACTCAGGGTCTAACTAGTATTGTTGACCTCTTGGGTAAGTTTCTAAACAACAAGACATCTTTAACTGATGGACTCTCCACGATATGGGGCGAACTCTCCATCAGGTTGGGCTCCGAGGCTACTTGGCTTTGGTTTGACTCTGTTGGGATTGACTGACTCTCTGTCGGCTTGCTTGGAATGTTCCAAAGAATGTTCCGGTGGTTTAGGACCTAGGCACTTTTGGTACTCGGTTCCCATTGGATCATCCAGACAGGTTGACGGACGCTCTGGTGAAAACTGGAACTCTCGAGTTCTCTGGTACTCTATGTTTATAATTCAGTGGAACCTCCGTGGGATGTCACGGACTCTCCGCTGGACATTAGGTGTCCTCAGGCTCTCTGGCTGCTGGTTATATATTTTGACGAATGCTCCGTTGGATGTCATAGACTCTCCGCTGGTATTGTGGTAGAACCGCCTAATCTAATGCCCTCCTAAGAGTACTTGTCCTCCATTAGACACTAAGTACCCAAGAGAGTGCACTAAATCATGCCGTTTCGTCGAACCCACCCATAGGGAGAGCTCAAAAATCCACTTTTTTGTCAGGATCATAAATGAGAGGATAAAGTTTACAATATTCTTAACCATTTCTTACATCACTTTATTACAACATTAGAGTTCTTAAACAAATTGAATGTAACATCGGAATTAAAATTGTTTACACTTAAACGAGTTTAGACCCTTCAGGTTCACAAGTTTTTTTTTCTTCAAGCGAAAAATAAACATATGATTAGAGTTACCGCGAAAACAAAGATTAATTTAATGACATGGTGAAGCATTACCAAAGTAGACGTTTATATACAAGATATGCTAGCAGATTTTACATCTTTTCTTATAAGAACCTTTAGTGTGGGTTATAAATGAACACTATGATTCG